TGTTCTGCTAGAAGGCAAGAAAACATGCCTTGTTTAGCTTGGTAAAATGAAGACTGAGAAGAGATACAATTGCTCGCTCTATTTTAAGTTGACATAAGAATGACTGGGCATAAAGGAGCTGTGAGTAAATCTCCTGAACATGAGGAGAGGAGGGTGCCCAGCCCTCCCTTTTATTTTGGTACATGTGACTCCTGAGGGGTGCAGGCGGGACAGGGCAGTCTGCGGTGCTGCCACATCCCGGCAGATGGGCTGAGAGAGGAGGGGGCAACGGGTCATGGGAGGTGCACTGGGAGGTGAAACTGCAGCTCAGGGTGGCCATAAAACACCTGGTGTGCGTGGTCACCATACTGGGACCAGAGCAAGGGTGTGGGCAAGACCAGAGTCATGAAAAATAAGCAGGTCTAGAGACAAGGCAGTCAAGGTTAAAGGTAGGGACAAATTAGCACCAGTGGAGACTGGAAACCAACTGTTACCAGTGAAGTAGCACATCTTGCTGCTGCTGTGGTTTCTGTGCAGGTTTTTGGGGAGAAATGCTGCTGACTTGCAGAAAGATGGAGGATGTGAGCGAACTGAGAAACCTCCTGGTTTACAACTCGCTGTTTTTCTTGAATGCATTCCTCATTTCCTTCACTCTCTCTGATTTAATCTTTCTGTATTTTAAGATATTACAATATACTTGATAAGACTAATGTGCTCTGAAGCTGAGGCATTCCCTGATTGTAATTGATTGCAGATGGAGAGCTTACCTTCCTCCTGGGTTGGTCTCTGAAACATTTTCTTAGTCTTAAAATATTCTACTTGGCTTCTCTTGAAGGGACAGAGGATGGTTTGTGCTTCCTTGTGGAGTTGTCAAGAAGAAAAGGACAGGTGGCTTGGGGACACTGCATTTGCATAACCCTGAAAGGTGGCTTTAACTGATGATAAATTTTGATCTAATAACTGTGACTAAACGGTCACACATCAGACCCACTGCCACTTCTCTGGGATGGACAGCCATAACAATGCATCTGCTTGCAGAGCAACTCTCCTCCTGCTGTTTCTCTCTCCACTGAAAAGAGCAAACATCTACTAACCGAAGAGAGCCACAGCAAAGGAAATCCCAGCTTGATCCCCAAACAGCAAGAATGGCCCTGGAGCTGCCAGGGATGTTCCTGGTGGAGCTCCCAGAAGTTCATTACTCCAGACGTGGGCTCAGCCAACCAGCCTGTCTGTTTGCACAAGTGGAAACAAATGGTTGGACTTGATGATCTTAAGGGTCTTTCCCAACCTAGATGATTCTGTGATTTTAAGCTGTACTGGCCGCCTGCTCGATGCGACGGGCAGAACAGGGAGAGGGCAGAGCCTGTCTGCCAGGTCGCAGGAGCAGTGCTGGTAGTGACGTGCAGGGACAAGAAGGTGGAGGTGACAGTGAATGCTCCAAGCTGCTCTTCTGCTGTCTGGAGGTGCAGATTCATGAGAGAAAAGATGGAGTTTTCTGCTTGTGATGCTGAGGTGTAGCTTCAGGACTCGGGGCAGGAGCTTTGCAAATGTGACTAATCCAGCATGCAGGAGTAGGAAATGAGGCAGTAAAGACTCAGTGTGCACGGGAAGGGAGGGTCAAAGCAGTCAAAAGGGACAGCGAGCATCTTGCCAGCACAGCCAAAGCACATCTGGCGTCCGAGGAGGCTTCTTTGCAGTGGTAGCAGGAGTAAACCACCAGCGTTGCAGCCGCTTCGTATAATCCTTCTCCAGGTGTGGATCCTGCTCACAATGCTCTGCTTAAAATGTCAAAATGAGCACTCTGACAGCACAGCCCTGTCCGTGGGGACACAGGTGGCCAGAGCGTTGCCTCTTTCTTACCATCCTGCTGCAGCTCAGGACATTGCGCCAGCTGAAAGATTTCCAGCACGATTTGCCCATGCGCTTGGTTACACGGATCACCTCAGCTTACCCAGTAAGGGATGGCAAAAGAGAACTTCTCCTTAGAGTAGCCATAACATGGTCCTGACCCCAAAGCAAACCTGAGCCTGTCAAGACCTGGCTTTTCATGAGACCTTGCAGCCGGCTCACAGAGCCCTCCCGCCTGCTAGGCCCTACTGGCAGCGCGTGCTACCGAGGCTGTGCTACCCAGGGTGCTATTTAGGGTGTATACATCCTAAAACCCAGCAGGTTTTAAGGTGTATTTTGTCGTCTTTCCCCTGTCGGGGCGATGGGAGCAAGGTGCCTGCCTCTCTCTGGCAGTTTTGAGAAAACCTGCCCTGGCTTTTCGCCCCGCTGCGGCTGGCCGCTGGTGCTGGAATGCAGCTCCCCTCGGCTGATGAGCTCTGTCCGTCAGTGGGGTGAGTGCCTCTGCTGTAATCAGTAACCGGAGCTGGTGTTGAAGACATGCCTCATCCCTCCTGCCCGCGTTGCTATCGGGCGCAGGGGGAGCAGCCCCACACCGAGCACGCTGCTAGTGCTCTTTGCGGGGGACGAAAGCCCGTCCTCACCGGGGAGTCCTCTTCCTCTGTGGTCTTACATTCAACCACAAAACATTTGAGAGCACTACTGCAGACACCACTAAGATGCCTGGATCAAGTGGGAGGCTGAATTCCCTTACATGTGGCTTTCTGCTTGGAAAGAGGAGTTTGCGGCCAGAGCCCAGGGTCTGGAGCAGCCTGGATGCTGAACAGGGGTTTATACGCCTTGCCAGCAGCCTTGCAGTCAGTGCCGGAGCCAGATCTAGCTGTAGTGTGAGAGACTGCAGTTGTATCGCCCGAAGTTTTGCCGTCTACCTCCTGTACTTAAATTCCTGCTTCACTTGTACCTTTCATGCAGGCAGATTTCCCCTTGCCATCAGATAAGGCACTTTCATGTGGCCTGAGGTGACATTTTTGGTGGTTTGAGTTTGCCTAGAAGCGGCTGCTTCCCCCGTTACCATCTGTACCAAGGGACACAAGCAGGTTGTACTGGGTGAAACCAGTTGGCTCCTTTGATGAGGCTGAAAGATGTGAAGGAGGGATCAGCTTGTGCTATGACGTGTCAGGCACATCGGGCTCCCTGGTGCTCCAGATAGGCTTTGAACAGCAAGCCCAGCCAGGTGTGAGTGGATGCATCCCGTCCTGGTGTTCCCAGCATGGCCTCTGTGCCAGCAGACAGCTGCTCACGGCCTGCTGGCAGGAGCGCGCGCGCACACTTGGCTGCCTCTGCCGGTGCCCTGCGTCCCTAGCAAGGGGCTGTGTTGTCAGAAGAGACGTTGCTGCATGGTGGGGGACCCCCAGCTGACATGCCACGTGTGGGACTGTTTCCAGCACACCGGGGGATCCTGGCTGTCCTGCTTCGAGTGACAGGCGCACACGGCTCTGCTCTCCCAGCTCGCTCTGCTCTGCACCACCACCGCTCCCATTGCTGCTTTCTGAAATTCATGCTTTTTTTCCCGTACGAGCCAGCTTTCTTCACAGTGCCAGTTTTCAGCTTTTAGGCTAGCAGGAGCCAAGCACTGAGTTGTTTCTGGGCAGCGTCTTTTCAGTTTAGAGGTGAGGTCCTCTGCGTTTTCAGACTCCCAAAGAGCACCAGCACAGTATACTACGTGTGGCCCTGTTGTTCCCGGTGGTGGTGCACCCTTTGCAGCATTCAGGTAACAGTGTCACTGGAAGCAGGGGAGGTCAAAGACGACTTCTTGAACACAGATTACAAGATAAGACCTGCCTAAACTTTCCTTAGCAGCTTTACCAGTTGGCATTC